CCATTCGTTCATCATCTAGAAGGAAAAAACCATTTTAATGCTAAACTTTTATTCGTTTTGTAAACTCGATTTTAGTAATCTTTATTAAATGAAATGAATTGTAGAGCAGCCAATATTAATGGGGAAACTGACCAAAGCCTAACAAACACTATTATTAAATATAATGTCATACTCGTGAACGGCAGCACTGCTTGTGGGGACTGGTCTGTTCGAGTTACATCACTGATTAGACTATTTGCTTTTGGAATAGCGTACACTAGTGGTCACTCAATTCTCCCAAATTTGAATTTAAAAATGAATTCGTATTATTGTAAACATGTACAACATTTATTTGAAAAGAATACGAGCTGAGTTTCTTGTCAGTTCTTCTCATCTCGAAATCATTCCGAACAGACGGTAGATTTGACATATCATAAGAGTCTGTAATAGACCTACATGAATTAAGATATTTGAATTTGAATGTTTACAAGAATTGCGAAAATACAACGATAGTAGTACATAACGTTATAAGTTTCGGATATAAATGTCAAAAGTCAAATCAACAATGGACGAGCCGTCAGCGAGCAGAACTTCTCTTAAACAAATTCAACTTGGCATGTTACTGGAATTTTATAAATTGGACAATTCGAGAATTGTCTGATTGATCAATCAGTTTCATAATATTGTATTGTCTGACAGCCTCGGTGGTCTAACAGTTTAGCACACCGCTTTACTTCCGGTGGTCGCGAGTTCGATTCCTCGCACGATACAATTTTTTTTAATCATACTTATACGTTGTACCTATGAATGTATTAAAAATTATTATTATCTCTCATCAGCGCGACTGTTGACAAGTAGAGAATACTTATTATGTTATCTGTGCTATTATTAAGCTGTCTGATGTCTGCATAACAATTTTGTGTGTAAAAAAATTGTTATGCAGACATCAGCAGTTTTGTAAGGAAACGTCGACCACTTCTCGTTTTGACAACTAACTATCTTAAATCACTCATCGAACTTATTGCAGGAATCGAACCTGAGACCATCAGAATTAAAGCGGTGTGTTAAATCATTCATACCACCGAGGTTAATCTATGTGTGAGGATTCGAACCTGCGACCATCGGAAGTAAAGCGGTGTGCTAAACCATTAAGACCAGCACGGTTGACTAGTCAATTTCAGAATTTTCCGATTGATAAATTATGAATGAACGCAACTGCCTGCAACATGGCGAAGTTTGAATAAAGTTCACGGAGTACAGAAAGAAATCCAATTCTATGTATATATGTATATACACTACGTACCAGAAGCATAATCAAAGTTTATACGACGTGTGGGTTTTTAAACTTTTAATTTGATATATTGACGGTATTATGTAATTATATATACATATATGTATATAATTACATAATACCGTATATAAATATATATATATTTACTTATTTAAATAACTTTAATGCATGTCATACATCTCCGACCTCTGTGGTCTAGCGGTCTAGCATACCGCTTTACAACCCATGGTCGCGGGTTCGATTCCTCGCACGGCACAAACATTTGTATTCATGAGTATTGGTCTGGGTGTTTTCTATGTATAAATGTATGTATTTACAAAAAATATGTATCAGTTATCTAGTACCCATAACACAAGCTTTAGCTAGCTTAACTTGGGTCTAGATGGCGCTGTGTGAATTGTCCTGAGATTATTATTATATTATACATAAGTAAAGAGTACATATGGCATATACAGTAGTCATATATACATATATATTGATTAAATAAATAAATATATTCAAGCTATATTATATTACACAAAAGTCTTTCTATCAACACTTTTTTATCCTTATATATTTTTCTTTTATTTATCACACATACTTATAATTCATCCATTTAACTCATTCTTCATTTTAGATATTTCAATTCATCAGGAATGCTATATCTTTTTTTCAAGTGGCTCCACTGAAAATCAGCGCTGTAGTGACACGCTGCGGCACCAGCTGAGTGGAAGCCTTTTCAGCATAGACGATTATTAGTATTTAAGTTTTCTTTTTTACTCTGTACTTTTTTTTATGCTGAATATATTATTATTATTATTACTATTTTCATCCAAAAATTCTCATCCCCCCTCTTAAGGAGAGGAGATGGCAACATACCCCCGGCAGAAGCACAGTCGGCCGGGGTTCAGGGTATTATTATTATTATGGCGGACTTCTAATGGCATTTTCTACCAGGCAACCATGAGTTGTGCAGAGATTAGTTGTTGGCGGTACAAATAATATTATATATATTTTTTTCGATCCATGATTGTATTGGGGGATCTATCAGAGGGGTTTTAATAGTAAAGAAAGGTCTAATGGGTAATTTTTACAATAATTGAATGTCAAATTTATTTATATTTAATTCAAGCTTTCTAATTTAGCTTTAAAAATGACGATACTACCATATAGCTTTTCATCCCCCCTTTCAACCCCTTACAACCCTTTTTTCACATTAAAAAGTAGCCTATGTCCTTAAAGTAGTAGTCTCCGTTCTCAGTATCTAGCCTATCTGTATATCAGACTAGCTATACTCGCGACTTCGTCCGCGTGGAATTTAACGTTAATTTTCTAAAATAAATGTGGTCTAAGTTACTACTTATGACATCAGCTACCTGCCAATAAAAGTCCCGTCAAAATTGGTCCAGCCATTTCGGAGATTAGCCGGAACAAACAGACAGACAAAAATTGTAAATAATGTTATTTTGGTGTCTGTACTGTATTTATATTCGTATGCATGTAGTAAAAAACGGTTATTTCAATATTAAAAACAGACACTCCAATTTTATTTAGATTATATTTATAGATTATAGATTTAATTTAAATCGGTTTAGTAGTTTTGGCTTGAAAGCTAGATAGACAGACAGAATTACTTTCGCATTTATATCTAATATTACTAAGTATTGTTATGCAAGTCTCTGCGAACCACTGCTATTTCTTACACGTATATGTTTGTTTATACCATTTTGTTTGTAATATTTTTGATACACGTAAAGACTTTATCTATCTATCTAACCACGCTTCCAATATAGCCATTGATGCTAAGGTCGTGTGGAGGGCGTTTTACAAATTGTCATTGTGGATTCATAACGTCTCATTGCGCGGAACTCATTAGTTGGACAATGGGGGGCGAGCGGGTGCTGGGGAGGGGGGGGGGGCGTACTATTAGACGAATGTGGACTTGGCAGGGGGCCAATAAACGGGCTGAGTTTTATTGGACCCACTGAATTTTCAACGGAATTATAGTCTGCAGTTCGATAGGAGATATTTGGTGGAACATAGTTGTGGAGTAGTTGTTGCTATCTATATATTTTCTATATATAATTTGTGTAATGTAACTAGCTATTTCGGCAAACTCTATATCTTTTATTAAATGTAATTTGTATGGTATAACCGGCTGTCCCGGTTACAACAAACGTTGTTTTGTTATATAACTAATATCGCTAGTAAAAGTTAAAGGGATGATGGTTGAAGGATGAAAATTTTTGAGTTGTATGCATTTTTAAAACCGATCCTTAAAAACTTATGCCAAAAAATTATTTTGGTTTTGGAGAGAAACTTAGGTCTACATATATTAACATAAATATGAATTCAATGAATTATCTCAGTCTGGAAGACGTCCACTGCTGGACAAAGGCATCCCACAAAGATCTCCACGACACGACGATTAAATGAATGAATGAATTAAAATAGATAAAATTTCTAAAATTAGAGTAGCCTAAGTTTTATCCTTATAATATATACCATACTATATATATAATATACCTATCTGCGAGTGTCCAGCGGTTTCAGAGAGTAGCAAAACGAAACAGAAAAAAAATTAAATTAAACTTTTGGTGTAAGTACCATATATACTTTCAAATGCATTTAGTGAAAAGCTGTTAATTTAAAATTACACATAGACACTTCAATTTTATTTATTTATATATATAGATAACATATTTCTTTGCAGTTTGTATTTATAAGCGCTTTTATTAAAATGATGAATTATGCTGACATATAATACAGTGTACTAATTCTCCATACAAATTTAAATTTTGTATGTATTTTCGTACAAAATCCTCTTTTCACGTATATAATATAATGATATTGTGAAACTGTGTTCCGTCAATGATTTCTATACGGTAACTCGTTTTGAATGTAATTGTAGAGTCAATATTTTGTACACCTAACTCTACTCCACGGTCTCCACTGTTCTATTGTTTGAAGTGTAAGTAATTAAAACCGGTACCTGTGATATTAGTTTCCAGGGCGGGCGGGCGGACAGGTAATTGTCCGAAATCGATAGATGACGACGCTTAAACTAGTCAGCACCTTCAGATTTCCTCGCAAGATTGATTAATCACACTGGCAAACACGTTAAACTTTAAAATGGACGGTACATAATTCTGACGTTTATAAACTTTCTTACTAATATTATAATCGCGAAAGTTTGTGAGTTTGGATGGATGTTTGTTACTCTTTCACTCGAAAACTGCTGAACGGATTTTGATGAAACTTTATTGAAATTTTATACAATAAATAATGCTAATAACGTTATCTACCAGCCAAACTTAGGTAGAACAGAGATACTCGAGGGCGGTTAGTTTATTACTTGAACTTTACTTGTTCCTAGTAAATTTGTCACCATAGACTACCTGATGTGACCTCATGCTCATCCCCCACTGATCCTGCATCCTGCCAGCGTAAACAAAAAAATTGCCACCATAGTAGTATAAAAAAAAATCAACGTACAATACATTCATAATATTCTTTTTATTTCAATTTAAAATAAATCAACCACTGCAATATTCCTCCAGCAAACAAGTGTTTTGGTTTATATACCCTTAGGACCTTGTGATTTTAACATATAGTAACACTAAACTCCAATGCAATGATGTGAGTACATCTCTGTACGGTCATTATCATTAAGTCAGTACCACATTGAAATCTCATTTTCGTTTATCACACACATTATTATTATGTACTTTGAAATTATTTATTCGTGATGATGTTTCTGAAAGTTTTGTTTTACATGTGTTTTTTATGTCCGTTATGTTCTTTTGAGACCATACAGAGTAAAAGGGTAAAGTACGGCATTTATTATTATTAATTAAACGGCAAAAAGTTAAAGTTGGAGTCGTGTCGTATTAACAGCTAAAAGGACTGATAGAAGATCGTGGAAGGTGGCGGGAGCTCCACCGACAAGAGCACAGCCTTTAAATTCATTCATTCATTCTAAGAATGAATGAATTTAAGAGCTGTGAATTAGACGGCCTCGGTGGTGTAGTGGTTTAGCACAACGTTTACTTCCGATGGTCGCGGGTTCGATTCCTCGCATGGTGGAAACATTTGTATTAATGAGTATGATTGTTTGTATCGGTCTGGGTGTTATCTATGTATATTATTTATATATTGCTAAAATTATGAATGTACTAAAAAAATCTAGCGTTATTATTATTGAATGGGGCAGATTTCGTCTCTCTCATCCATTCTCTCTTTATTTTCACCCTCTGTCTCGCCCATTTCAGCCCCTAAGTAGCTAGCTTACTCAGAAATACAAAAGTATACACTGTTCGAGGAATCGAACCCGCGACCATCGGAAGTAAGCCGGTATGCTAAACCGCTAGACCACCGAGGACCTTCAGATCAGATCTAATCTATACTAACCTATTCGTTAACGATAATAATGATTTTATAGAAAAACTTTAAATCCATAGCACTGACAATATTATCTGATTACACTAATAATGAGTGCGTAGCGATTTCTATGTTGATTATCACATGCCTCTTATTTGTTATACTGTAATTATTTATATAAAAAAACATCTATTAAAAAGAGCAACACACAAGTTTCTCGCTCATTCTTCTTCTGATGAATTTACATTCCGTATGAGTGGTAGAATCAAAATATGACTATTCAAAAGTGCTTGTAATGAGTTTATTTGAATAAAGATTATTTATATTTCTATTCTGATTGCAGAAAATGTTCAGGCTTGAGTTTCTATCCATAGACAAGTGTAATATACCGCAGGAGAAGATGGACCCCACTTCTCCTATATCCTCCAACGTGACAATGAGAAAGACAAATAAGGAGACATTGGTTAATGTTGAATTGAATGTGACTCGAAGATTTGGACCTCTACTTGTAAGTTTGTCATTACAACCTTTCGTTTAGCGTATGTGAGATTTTTTTATTGAGTTGTTTGGGCTATCGTCAGGTGCATGAAACTTCTTTCGTTTCAACGGCAACTAAATATATTGAGGAACCTCTCCGCGGCGCATCTGGAAACAGCTAGACACGATAACGTAGTGTCTAGGCTGGGCAATCCTCTCAATGGCAATTCAAACGATAAACCTGTAGCACTGCGATCTACATAGATCTATTGTGCTCGCCCTTTTCAAAGTCCGCTACCTAGACCCGTCAGGGACAAGAATTGAAGGATATTCACTCATACATAAACGAAATATCTCCTTTGGAAAGTTTACACTCTTTTCCGAGGAGATAGAAACCATCGCTCCTAAGAATACCCTTCAATTCTTGTCCCTGACGGATCTAGGTAGCGAACTTTGAAAAAGGGCGAGCACAATAGATCTTTGGAGGTCGTAGTGCTACAGGCACCTAACAATAGCCCAAACATCCCAATAAAAAATAAAATAAAAAAAAGCTAAGCAGAGTAGAGTTCCCACAACAATGTGGATACTAGACAAGTGGTATAAATACATACATAATATACATAGAAAACACTCAGTACGAGACAAACAACCATACCTACTCTTGAACACAAATTTGTACCGTATTGTGCGAGGAATCGAATATGCGATCATCGGAAGTAAGGCAGTGTCTACACCCCAAAAACTTAAAAATTAGTGTATATTTCATTTCGATACTCTATTTTAATTTCTCAGATATCCTGCAGGACTTATGAGGTGACAGAGAATTATACGAGGCTCATATACAATTTGGAGAAGATTCCATGCACCAATACAGTCATACATCAAGTGCTGGCCTTCTTGAAAGTGAGGCTGGATAGGCAATGTTTCTCTCGACCTGTAAGTTGTATAATAGGGAATAGGGACGGCGGGTGCGGACTAAAATAATCTTTTTATTTTATATTGGAACTGCCTGTCAATCAGGTGCTGATTCAATTCGAAAGACCAGGTTGCGTAATTATGAGAATTAAGGAAAATATAGGGAATCAGGAGAGAGGCGAGGCGGCGTCCGCTGACCTTGAATTTGCTACTGGTCTTCAGCAGCGAACTGGTAGTTTTTTTCTGTTCCAGCAATTCCAGCTGGCCGATGGTCACCAAAACACTGCACACTTATTTGTCCGTAAAGTTTATAATAAATCAGTATACACTATAATAATAATAATAAATATATTTATTGCCAAAATCAGTATAGTTACATAGTTACACATTTATACATATTTAATATGATTGGCAATAGGTACAAACTCAGCTATTGCTGGACTGATGCGCGTCCAGCGCTGGTTTTCAGTTTGTACCTACGCGGGCGTACCTAATCACGTGCTAGATTACCATACCACAACATAGTGAAATAAAAATTTAACAAATTAATACATGAATAATAATAATATCCATACGGATACACACGTGACATGCATGCAATGCATGTGTATCTACATTTAAAAAAAAACACATTTTATGTCGAGATTTGTCGCCTCTATCCAAGAGCTGCCTCTGTCTATCTAATGTATTGTTCCTAAAATAATTTTAAAATTTTAGCGTTATTATCATTTAGCGTAATGGCGGAGGCTGTATATAAGATGGCGTCCCCACGCGGTGGTTTTTCAAATACAGCGGTTAACAGAGCGAAATAAATAATTATAAATGCGCTTTCAATCAGCGCAGTCAATATTCTTTGCACAATTGAAGACTGTCCAACAACAGTGAACGCCAAAGAGGAAAAGGGATAGGTATAGGGTTGTGAGGACATAAGAAATATAATCAGCGATAGATGGCGATAACAGAATGTGATGATGATGATGGTCTCATCATCAATCTGTGTTGTGTATAGAGAATATCAAGGATAAAGAAGAATAGCATGAAATATTAAATTACTCTATTCAAATAACCTTAAATTTTAAATATTCGGTCTTTTTAATAGTGCTTATTTTTTTAATATGCCACTGATTTGGAAAACTCATCACAAGAAGAATAAGCAGTAAAGGATGAATAGAATGAATTATAATTTAAGCACATTTACAATAATCATATTTATTTTTTATTCTACCACTCATTCGGAAAACTGTCTCATCACAAGAAGAACGAGCAGGAATATTAAGTAATTGTTGTAACTTTGCATTTTTGAGTTAAAAATTGTGAATATAAAGTACCAAATAGCGTAGAATAATAATAATAAAGAAATATTAAATAAATAATTCAATAAAAAGTGCCTCTTTTAAATAATCGTTGTAATTATACATTTACAAGTTATAATTTGTGAATATAAAGTACCAAATAGCGTAGAAATTGAATAATTCTACAGTACTAATGAATATCTTTTAGAAAAAAGGGGGAAGTGATGTAGAGACTTATGTATGTGTATGTGTAGATTATGTATATATATATGTCCTTGTCCACATAAATATTTCTTATATATAAAATTCTCGTGTCACAGTTTTCGTTCCCATACTCCTCCGAAACGGCTCGACCGATTCTCATGAAATTTTGTGAGCATATTGAGTAGGTCTGAGAATCGGCCAAGATCTATTTTGCATCCCCCTAAATGTTAGGGGTAGTCCACCCCTAATTTTTTTTTTATTTTAACGCAAAACATCGTTTGCCGGGACAGCTAGTAATAATATAATATGATTCAATTTAATAATTCCATACAATCAAATTTGACTGTTTGTATTGACTAAAATTTTGGGAATATATTAAGGACATATAAATTTTAATTATTTTATGTATGTATATTATAAACAACTGATAAATGGCATATGTTGTCTGTTGTATGTCAGAAATGACTGATGTATTGAACTAATATATTATGTTAATCATGTTAAACCATCACTGTAAAACCACATTTAAACAATAAATTTCATTTATTTTCATTTGCTTTCAATTAAAAAAAATATAAAATAATCATTGATTAAATTAAATTAAAAGTGCTATGTAATTTTTACTCTATAATCAAATAATAATTTCTTCAGCATTCATTCAATCCTTAGAAAGAATGTGAACTAGTATCTAATCTGACCTATTTTCAGACCTAAAAAGTTTATATATTCCATTCAAAAACGGTTCAGTCATTAAGGATTCGATCGCGAGTTAACAACGTGACACGATATTTATCTATTTTAAGATATATATATTATACATATATCATCAAAAACTTCCTTATCCCATTTATTTGTGGCCGTCGTAATATGTTTTTCTCTTCCATTCATCTCTGTTCGCAGTCATCGCGTTATTTATTTATATTACCATATCATCTTTCAAACAGTCCATCCATCTATTTATATTCGGTCTTATTTAAAACCATCCACATTCATAAACACCTTTCTTAAAATATTATCCTCGTTCCTACGCATTACATGTCCATACCATGATAGACGATATATTATATATATATATATATATATATATATATATATGATTTTTTTTATATTTCAGGGTACATTTAAACATCTAAATGTTAGCGTGAATAACTTCTCATTTCTTTTAACGAAGGCAGTCACACAATCCGGAAAGTGAGTGTTTTACATCATACTATATTAATACTAGTTGCAACACGCTGCTCTCTTCGCATAAATTATGACGTTAAACTCTACAGTCTAATTAACCTAGTAGTAAATTTATGTACTAAATTTTATTACAATTTTGTATGCAACTTTAGGGTAATTAAGTAACAAACATAACAAATATTTATTAAATTTTTTAAAATAATAGAATATTAAAAATTCGTAAATATCCTGTCTGTAATAATACATATATCAAATTAATATAAAATCTAAAGTAACTCTGTCTCTTTGTTCATTGACTTTTAGTATTAAAATGCAGAAATTTTATTATATAAATTGTGATACAGGCTATGTTTTATAGTTATAACTAGCTGTACACGCGACTTCATCCGCATGGAATTGAACTTTATTTTTATATATTAAAATAAAAGTAGCCTAAGTTACTCCTTATTACATCAGCTACCTGCTAATAAAAGTCTCGTCAAAATCTGTCTAGCCATTTCAGAGATTAACCGGAACAGACAAAAATTGTAAAAAATGTTATTTTGGTATATGTACCGTATTTATATTCATATGCATGTAGTAATAAAACGGTTATTTCAACATTACAAACAGACACTCCAATTTTATTTATATGTATAGATATAAGGTTTATAAAAAATTAAAATATTCCTAAGTTTGTATACATACCTATTTTTTTTTCAGATACGCATACGAAATAGAATTTTCTTATTCAAAAGGAGTTGCCATTTGCTATACGGTTTTGTGCGAACTCATAGAAAATAAGAAGCAATAGTGAAACAGCTTCCTAACGGGAATATGCCTTATATACATACTTGCATAATATTATTAGTTTTTTTAAATAAAATATATATTATTCCGAAATATTGTCTTTTTTATGTTACTAGATTAGACTTGCTGTATATGGGAAGTTTTTTTAATGAATGATAATAAAGAAATAAAAAAAAAAGGAAATTGTTTATTTGGTGCATAGCAATAATAAAACTAAATAAAAATTTTAAGTTACATTATATAGGTTTATATTAATTTCATAATGGAATGGTGCCTTCGCGTAAACGCTGGCGGGGCACCAGTGGATGATGATAAGATGAACATGAGATCAGGTCAGTTAGCACATCGTGGTAAATTGCCATTTGACACGCTGGTGGGGACCACGTGGAGGTCAACCGACATGGTACATAACTAGCTATATATGGGGTTATTATTACCATAACTACTTATGTATATTATTAACAATTTCCTACCTCTTTATGGACAATGGTAATAAATTAGTGGTATGTGATATCATCTGGTGCTTTAGACATGCACTGCGACCACATAGATCTATTGTGCTCACTCTTTTCCAAAATTCGCTACCTAGGCCCGCCAGGGTCAAGAATTAAAGGATATTCTTAGGAACGATGGTTGTAATCTCGACGACTTCGGTGGTCTAGCGGTCTAGCATACCGCTTTACGACCGATGGTCGCGGGTTCGATTCCTCGCACGGCACAAACATTTGTATTCATGAGTATGATTGTTTGTATCGGTCTGGGTATTTTCTATGTATAATATGTATGTATTTACGAAAAAAAAATATCTATGTATTTGTATCAGTTGTCTAGGACCCATAACACAAGCTTTAGCTAGCTTAACTTGAGTCTAGATGGCGCTGTGTGAAAAAAAAAAATCTCTTCAGGATAGAGCGGTTTCGGACTACTCTGTTGGCCGCAGCTGGCCTTTACGGCTTCACCGGACGATAGGGGGCATGTGCAGATGGCAATCGAAACTCGCAGGACTTATGGAGCGGCTGAAGGCCAACTCCCGCCTGATGGATACGACTTTAATCTGAGGGCACTGCTCCTAGCAGTTCGAACCTATAGATGCAAACAGCATCACAAACTCATCTTCAAATGGTGGTACTACTGGGTTGATATATGCGGACTATGGTGCAATACAGTAGTATAATCAATATTGATGGCACATGGACGTGCAATCAATATATTGATTATTTGATAGCACGATGGACGTGCCAGGGCTGGCAGGTAGGTGAAAATATTGTTAAAATAGCATGAGCCAGCTCTTCAAACAGTTTTATGATCGACGACGTGCCTAAAATATCCTGTCGTGTGCCTTCAATGGTACGCAACAATTTCCTTCCTCTTTATGGAAAATGGTAATAAATTAGTGGTATGTGATATTATCTGGTGCTTTAGACCTGCACTGCGACCACATAGATCTATTGTGCTCACCCTTTTCCAAAGTTATGCTACCTAGGCCCGCCAGGGTCAAGAATTAAAGGATATTCTTAGGAACGATGGTTGTAATCTCTTCAGGATAGAGCGTTTTTTTCGGACTACTCTGTTGGCCGCAGCTGGCCTTTACGGCTTCACCGGACGATAGGGGGCATGTGCAGATGGCACTCGAAACTCGCAGGACTTATGGAGCGGCTGAAGGCCAACTCCCGCCTGATGGATATGACTTTAATCTGAGGGCAGTGCTCCTAGCAGTTCGAACCTGTAGATGCAAACAGCATCACCTCACAACATCACAGACTCATCTTCAAATGGTGGTACTACAGGGTTGATATTGCGGACTATAGTGTAGTGTAGTAGTATAATCAATATTGATGGCACATGGACGTGCTATCAAATAATCAAAATTATTCTATGGCACGTCCATGACCCAATTAAACATTCTGATTATTTGGAAAATAATAATAATAAATACTACCAATCAAGAAATAAAGTAAAAAAAGAGGTACATTTCGGATTGTTTTCATTACACGCATAAATTAAATTACTGTAAAATTAGTGTGACCTCTGTTGCTGCAGGTTAGATGACAAATAATTTATGTCAGGCTTGTACGATGTTACTTTTAGCAAAATGCATGCTGAACTGGATTCATCTGTCAAACGTTTTTTGACCAAGTTTTTTATGTTCTTCATCTATGAAAATAATGACATGTATTTACAAAAATATCTATTTATATCAGTTGTATAGTACCTATAAGCTTTGTGCTTACTTTGGGACTAGGTGGCGTCAAAAATTGTCAGACGAGCTTACGCCTCACCTGATGGTAAGTGATTACCGCCGCCCATAAGCACTTGCAACAGCAGGGGAATTGCAAGTGCGTTGTCCGTCTTTTAAGAAAGAATAAACTCTTCTCTTGAAGGTATAAATATCGTATCGGTACGTAAATACCATTGCTGGAAGGTGATTCCACGAAGTGGTTGTATGTGGTAGAAAGATTCTTGAAAAACCACACGGTGCAGTATCCATGATCAGGATGGCATTTTAGTTCCTGTCGAGTAGTACGATGGTGAAATTCGGAATTCCGTTTTATTTAAATTTTATGTAATTCAATTATTAGTTCCTATAGGGTGGTCAGTAGGATGGTCAGAGTGCTAGACACTCCTTCTATTAAAAAAAAAATGCAGTCAAATACGTCCCTGTTCGTTACACTTCGTTACCTGATGCGGGTCCATTAAAAATACATTATTAGGGTTCAGTATGGTAATAATAATAATAATATAATAATAATCTCAGGACAATTAACACAGCGCCATCTAGACCCAAGTTAAGCTAGCTAAAGCTTGTGTTATGAATACTAGATAACTGATACATATAAATAGATATTTTTTTTTGTAAATACATACATATTATACATAACTATGTATTAAAAACAACCAGACCGATACAAACAATCATATTCATGAATACAAATGTTTGTGCCGGGCGAGGAATCGAACCCGTGACCATCAGTCGTAAAGCGGTGTGCTAGACCGCTAGACCACCGAGGTCGTCGATAAGAAAGGAAAATAAGGAGGAACAAAGGAGGATAAAAATAAGAAATCGCTATAAGAACATGACTGAGGTCTTACTACCTGAGGGTATGAGGATTGTCAGGAAAGGTCTTACCTTATGCCTTTAGGAACAGCAATATATGTATTTATAATTAGTAAAAATCACGGGATCACGGGTAAACTGATCATGGTGGTTGAAACACTACCGAAATATCGGGAACTCAGCAAATAAATATAAAACGTGGTAAGATCCCGTGATTTTTACTAATTATACGTATAAACAATGACCGCGTCAAATTTAAAACAGTATACAGCAATATACTGCTTTTTGCTTAAAAGTTATTTTAAGGCTGTTGATTAAATATAAATAACTATGACATTCAAAGTTTGTAAAATATAACCTTCTCATTCATTCATTCATAATTTAAGAGCTACGCTCTTGTCGGTGGAGCTCTTGCCACTTTCCACGATCTTCCATCATGCTGTTTAATTCTTGATACGACACGACTCCCATCTTCTCCTTACATTGATTGATGTAGCTGTGCCTTGGTCTTCCGCTCCCCCTCTTTCCTTCTATTTTCCCTCCATAACCTTTAAAAAAAATAGGGGAGGAAAATTTGTATGGAAAGTTGTGAAGTCGGAAATTTTTGAAGCTAGAACGATGACCCGTTTAGTTTCCTTCTTTGGGTTAGATTATTGAATATTTTTTCTTTATCTGGTTACTATAAAACGCGGACGAAGTCGCTGGTACAGCTAGTATAGAATATATGGACGAAATCAAAATATCTTTTTCATATAGGTCTATTACAGACTCTTTGATATGTCAAATCTACCGTCAGTTCGAAATGCTTTCAACATGAGAAGAACTGACAAGAAACTCAGCTCTTTTCAAATAAATGTTAAACATTTTTACTAGTAATACAGATTCATTTTTAAACATAAATTTGGGAGAATAGAGTGATCACCATCATATGCTATAGCAATTTACAGTCAAAGACGAATAGTCCAATCAGTGATCGTAACAACACCCGTTCACGAGTATGACGGTTGAGCCAGCCATCATTGTAAATATTAGAGGGAACACGATGACCCTGTCCACCACCCGCCACAAGTTTGAACTTTATAGTGATATATTGCTTCAAGTTAATACGGAACCATTATAAATATTCCAACTCGGACTTGACACAATGATGTTTTAATGGAAAATTG